TGCACCATTATAGAGCTGCGTCTTTTCCGATTTCTTCGAGAGCCTCAGTGAGACCCCTTCCGAGTTGGGCTCACCGCAATGGGGAACATTGTGATATACATCGACTATTTTTAAGGAGCTCAGGTCGCCTTTTATCATGTCATTGTATTCCTTGGATATGTTCTGCGCGATGCCCCTCGTTCTGGTCATTTCGCTTTCTTGAGCCTTCTTCAGATCGAATCCTGTCAATGCACATACCAAATCGTCTAGATTCCGTTCGATGCCAACGCGATCTTTAATCCGATTTAACAGCTTACGTAAATAATCGCGCCGCTCTGAATATTCAAGCAGCTTCTCGCCAACATGCAGGCCACTCGTGGCTTTGGCTATTGGACCTTTACAGTAACCTATACAGCCCTCCATATTGTCAAAATACTTTCTCCTTGTAATCGGCTCAAGGGCGGCATCGCCAGCGCTTGGTTTCCCGGCGTTCGGATCATGGCCATCCAAAAAATTCCTTTCGTATAGCGTGAAGCGACGTCTCAGCCCATTCGCCCTGGCCAGGGAGTTCGGTCCGATGCCCAAGCGATCATCTGTCTTTTGGGTGCGCCGCATGGGCCGCAGACCGAATTTCCGTGCCGGACATTTGGCGTTACCAAAGAGACTCTTGTGCGCACCATTGTCCAACTCCTTGCCCCCCTTGAGCACCGACTGCAGCACGCTCAACAGTTTGAGCAGCGACTCCGGCTGGTAGGGAGTGCGCACGTTGCCCTCGCTGTCAAAGATGCCGCAGTAGAAGTCGCAGGGGTTGAAGGTGCACAGTGGCACGTAGCAATTGCACCAGTAGGAGTTGCGCGGATTCAGCATCTTGGCGAAGTTCTGCATGGTCAGCGTGTACAGAAAGTCTGAGACCACATCCGCATGCAGCCCCACGGCCCGGCTCAGGGCCAAAATGGTGGCGTGATTCGCGTTGAACCAATAATCCCGGGGCGAGCTTTTGCGGCACTCGCAGCCGGACTCCTTGGACATGTGCTGCCGGTACCGGCGCAGCCACTGGATCCGTTCGGACACATCCTGAGGCCGAGTCGTGTCGCTGGAATCCTTCGCCTGGGCGGACGAGCAGCAGTCGCCTCCGCAGCTGCCACTCCTGTTCTTGTTGCTGTAGGCAGTTTGCAGCTGCTGGAAGTAGTTGCCCAAGCGTCCGGCAAACATATTGTTCTTCCAGCAGCTGCCACCGCAACCGTTCTTCAAGCAAGCCATTTTGCAATTCTGCTAGATGAAACCAAATTTTAAGACTATTTTCCAAAATTATTAAATTCTCAATTTCGAATTGACAAATTCTGCAAAATTCGATTTGAGTGGATTAAAGCCGTTAAATCGGGAATTCAATCTGGATTTTACAAATTTCAAAAAACCTTATCCGATATGGTTAAAAATTAAACGGATAATCGAATGCTGAATTCGATAGGTTCGTATTACCATATATCGATATTCCAATCGATGAAAATTCACAAGTTTCTTAACTTTTTTCAATACCAATTTTTAATACTTTTTCTGATCTACTAATCAGTATTCATATTTCTGCTACTAAAACCACATAACTCGTTCCTGTCAAGCTTAACCAAAATCGATTATTCTATCAATAACAATTGACTACAGTTAATTAGAAAAAAAAAAACATTTGAGATGACAACTGAAAAACAAATGTCAAAAGAGGAATGCAAAAATAAAACATGTAAGTCCTTTATGTGTGCTGCGTGTATGTGTGTGTGTTTACAGTAGCTACAACACCAACAACAACAATTAACGCAAACAGCAAGACAAAGCAGCGCAGGCAAAAAAGACAAAAGCAAAAAAAAAACGAAACATGCCGCACAAATAGCCCAGCTCATTGGGTGCGCAAGCGAGATGGCACGAGCCGTTGCTCAGGCAAGTGTGAGCGACGCTCTGACAGCTAACAGGGGAAAGCAAAAGAAAACAACAACTAAAAAGCATAAGCAACAGGGACAGCATTTGAGCGCAAGAAAACAAGAGAGCGCAGGGGTAATGCGCTGGGGAAGAGCGGAACGCGCCGGCAATGGAACAGCGCAGCGTCTGCAAGAGGGGAAAGAGAGACAATACCAATTGGCAATTGCTCGCGTCGCTCTCGCGCTCATCAGAACTATAGCAGCGTCGGCGACGCTGCACGATGCTCACGCAGAGCGAGAGAATTGTTATTGCTGTCGCTGCTAAGTTGAGCGTATTTTGCTTTGTGCGCTCCAACACAAACAAGCGCGCACATTATCAAGTAAGGAGGGGGCGCTGCATGTGCAAGCTTTTGCCGGCAAACGCCAGCAGCGACGTCAGCTGCAGCGGCGACTGCGACCTCTAGCCCCCTGCCATTACCAACGACGCTACCTACTAATTGAGTTGGCAAGTGAGACTCAAATCTCTTCAACATAAAACCGTTAGAATCGCAGATTTAAGCAATTGTGACGTAATACAAATAATTATTTAAGATATCTTTAAAACAAAAGATTGAGAAGTAGTTTGAAATTGATTGAAAATATTAAGAACATTTGAATTAAGATAATTTTTAAATGGAACAGTTTTTCTGTTCTCAGCAATATTTGCGGGATGTGCGCTTTCCAGCATGCTTTTCTAATACGATAATTGCTTTTACATTCTAATTGGACAGATTATTATGTTTATCAAAGCAAATTCTAATTCCATTTCCATAGTCTTTTCTGGCTTTAATTTTACAAGTGCACAAATAAAGATAACTTATTTATTACAATAGTTACCACTTTTTTCACATAATACTTGGATATTTGTAAATTAGGAAGGTTGGCAGGAAGTTGGTAAGGCCCTTAATTGATATTTTCCAATAAGAAATGTAAATCACTTAAATATTCCTATTAGCATCACATTGAACCTTTTTAGATTATTCATAAATTCATAAAACTGCAAATCGTTGTTCTTGGTAGATATGGAAAATTGCTTAAATCAATTAAAATCCGTTCAAAACATAAAAAATATTCCAAATCTTAATTTGTTGCGCATTTTCTTCAGAAAAGAAGACAGAGTATTAAAATTTATAAAGATATATGAAGAAGACATCTAGTATATTCATTATCAGTCAGTTACGTAGTGTATGTTCGTTTTAAAGATATTTTGGAACAAACTCACGCTGAACCAACTTTTTAGTACAGACAATGAATATGACGTATTATTATAAAGTATCTTTTGGCTATCCAGAAAAATCTTGTTTTTGGATATATCTTTACTAATATACATAAAAAAAACTCGTCAACATGGGACGTCTCTGTATTCCGTTGAAAATTTACATCAAGCCCCTAAATTTTCCACAGGTCTGACATATTCATTAGAACATATTTGACATTCCCAATATAACTGTCTTTATTTTATAGAATTCGTATTGCAAATAAAATCGTTTAATTATGTAAGAGGTATTGAATATAAATATCAATTTGTCAATTCCGCACAGAACTAATGAATTTTTGGTAAAACTTATGCTGCTTGCACGATAATTTGATTCTATATCTTATTCCCACTAACTACTCTTTTCCCACAAACTTTATAAATTCAAAAATAAATTCGAAATTTCTACGATAAAGTGAAAATAGTTTCTTACCAAAACTCGCTTGCCCAACAATTGGACAGCCAATCCAGAGAAACGAAAATCAATGGTTAAATCACAGCCAATAATCGAATATAGTTCAGATGAACTTTATCAGCTCACGAAACGAAATGGACTTTGATCTGAGATACACAGAAATCAAATTGCAGTTACAAAATTGGGATGATTAACACCTTCGACTTGGAAAGTAGTTTAGTATAAAATATTTGTAGGACTATAACGCAATATCTGATCCATCAGTTCGCAGCCGAGTTCAATAGAGTTGCCAGTTCAAAGGCCGCCGCTGCGGCCGACGGGCAACAACAAACAAATATAAACAAATTGCAGGGATAGATATGTACATTCAGATACACACATCCAGATATTTAGATACATAATTCAATAGTTAATATTATAATGAGAGGCATCAACAGGTTCGTCAACAACAACAACAACAACAACAATAACAACTCCCTCTTTTGAAGTCGAACCACGGATACGGCAATCGGTGGCCGCCTTTAATCTTTGCTGCCTCTTGATGGGCTCCTCGATGGGCCGCCGTGATGGATACTTCCGTGTCGGCGGCTTTGGCCGGCTGTGTGGGTGGTAACCACTTTGTGGCGCCCATTGGCATTAGCCAAGCCAAAGCGAGAAACATATTTATAACTGCAATTTTTAATATTTTATTGACTCGCGGCCTCAATCGACAGAAATGCTTTGAACTTGTTCCATATGATCAAATTTATAGACAGTCAAAATTTCATATTGTAAATTATATGAAAATATGCGTAAATAGATACAATGAGAGAGAGAGAGAAAGAGAGAGAGAGAGCAATAGAGGGAGAAAAACTGTAGAACGGAAGGGAAGCTTTTGATCTTGCCGGTAATTGTACGGAATGTTTCTCGATATGTGATTTTCAGTGCAGTTTTCAATCATGTCTAATATTTATTTCCAGACGAGGGCAGAAAGAAAACTACATCTGATCTTGCCTGAAAAAAAAAATCGTAATCTTTAAAAATAACAGGTTACTGGATGTCGATATCGATTTTTTTCGATTGCTTGGAAACGGGGCAGGTTAACGAATATCGGAAACAACGTTTTTAGCTTTTATAGGTTGTGAGATTGACGCGTCCATTAATACGGACAGACGGACGGACGGACAGACGGGCATCACTAGATCGACTCAGCTATTGCTGCTGATCAAGAATATATATTCTTTAAGGGGTCGGAGATACTTCCTTCTGCCTAATACATGCATTTATAAAAATACCTTTTAAACCATACAAAAATCATTTTCAACCAGAATTAAATGTCAAAGATTTGTAAACGGTATGTATGTACATTTAAATATATATTCACAAGACATCTGTCGGTATTAACATATATATATATATATATATATATATATATATTTTATTTCTAACAATCATGGCTAATGCGGCTGCAGCTATAAAGGACGTGGAGAAGCACTCGAATAAACAATATTTGCCACCATTTATCGCTGCCCCCTCGGAACAGACAGAGGCAGAGACGACAGCGGCCAGCAAGGAGCCGCAGGTGAAGGAGCAGCTGGTGCCAATGGCCGTTATCAAAAGTGATCCCGAGCCGAATTCGGTTGGCATGGAGCTGGATAATCCTTTCTGGATATCCGTCAGTGGCTATCAGCCGGATTGCGCCTATTCGGTGTATCGTTTCTTTCTCGATATCGGACACATTGTGGACAAGAGTTTCACAGAAACAAATTTAATGTATCTGAAGTATTTCTGTATGATGGATTGCGAAATTGCGCTCAGCTACGATGGCCAAAGGATCGGCTATGGTGGCGATATACTCGTGCACGTCAAGCCGGAGAATCCTGTGCTGCAGACCCGAATCGAACCAACAAAACAGAAGATTAAGCAGCCAGCCGTAGGCACCGCTGCTAACAATGAGCCCGATATAGGCCTATCGCCGTTGTGTCTTGTCGATACTGACACAGAGAAACTGAAGAAGCTAAAACAGCTAGAGAAGCTAGAGAAGCCAGAGAAACAGCCCAAGGTTGTGGAAGAAGCTGCCGCCAAGCAGCCAAAAGAGAATCCAGAGAAACTGTCACAGATTGTCGAAGAGGCTGCCAAGCTGGTAAAAGAGAAGCCAGAAAAATTGCCAAAGGTTGTGGAAAAGCCTGCCTCTCCCAAGCTGGCAAAAGAGCAGAAGCGACAAGTGGCTCGCAGGAAGTTGACTTTTGGGCAATGGCTAAAGCATAAGATATCCTATATATTTTATTTTTACTGAGTAACAGTTTTGTTTCGTTAGTGTAGTTGAAATTGCCAACTGATGAACAGCATTAAAAATCCATTTCACAATGGAAAACTTTGTTTATTCCTGGGCAACCAAAACAGCCTTAAGCCCAACTGGCTTGAAAGTGAGATTCCAGCATTTTAGTTGAACAAGAAATAACCCGGATCCAGGTTCACTGTTCGAACTATACAACAAGTAATTGGTTCGAACCGTGTATTGAAATATCCACTATTTTTTTCATTCGTTTTGCAGCGTTGATTTATGACACACGGGTTAGAAATAAGAGAACATAGAAAATAGTTCCCGTATCTGTATGAAGCCTCCCACGGTTCAAATATTGTCGATAGCGATAAAATGCAATTGGTATTGTTAGGGTTATTTGCATGCCGGCGACATTATAGAATTTTTAATTACAATAAATCAATTTAAATAAAATGTAATTTTTCAATTTTATCAAATTGTCATTATGCGTAATTAATTCCTATGCACAAATGCATTTTAGTGCCCCACGTTGGGCGCCACACCAGTCCACGCGCTGGCGCCCTCTACCGTTCGTGGCCAAACAATTGTGCTGCGCTAACTTTTAGCGATTGTCGTAGCGATTATAGCGCCGCAGCTGATGGGAGGGCGTGGCATTTAGTGGAAAAATGGGGCGGTTGATGGTCTGAAATAATCGGACATTTGTTTTGTCAGAAATAATGCTGCTTAATTATTATATTTGTAATTTATTTGCGCCCACGCTTATCAGATCCAAATGCTAAAAAGTATGCATGCTGCTTTAATCCCACATTAATCCCGCACAAAACTGCATCAGCAACAACAATAACAACAACAAATGCAAAAAAGCCCAAAATAGAAATGACAGTAACAAAAACAACAAAAGCAAATGCAGCGCATAGAATGCATAATTAATTTTTATTTTGATGACAACGTCAACGCAACAGTCTAACCGAGCCCGAGCCCCAGCCCAAGCACGAGCCCGACGTTCGCCCAACATATCCCGCAGTGCGTTCCGAGTGTACCGCAATTATTTTGGATTGCCCAACACTGGCCTGCAACTGACCACTCAACATGCACGTCGTAATCAATAGGGCAGAGGGATGTGTGCGTATGTATGCGTGTCCTTATAATACTGCAAAATCCATTAAAAATTACTAACCAAACCTAATTTTTTGAGCCTGAAATTTCTTATTGCACGCGAATAAGCTTACTAAACAAACCCCAAAGCTGAGAGTGCAACGAAACATACATCATTAGTAAGATTGTTTCACAAGAATTATTTCATTGAATATTTTAATAATATTTCAAATTTGGTGAGTCTCTGAGTATTTGGGCCTAACTAATTCCGACCAAAAAATATTATACAAAAATATTCACAAACTGAATCTAGTTGGTTCCAGATGTAAACAGAACCACCAAATTCTTTTTATAATTCCGGTTTTGCTTAAATATCAACTAGTTTAACTACCCACACTTTCAGCGGACAATTTGCGTTTACCCACACTGGCGAAAATAGGAAAATTGCAATATATTGATTCATGGCAATATTCTTTAGTGAAATCTTTCTTGAAAGTACTTTTTATATTCTTGCGAACATTACTAATAAGCAGACCCTTTTGTAAATGATCTTCTAATTTCGTTAACCAGCACTGCCGCTCGGCTACATGTGTTTACCCACACTTGGCACACTGATACATATAGCCTCAAAGAGAAAGAGAGAGAGAGGGAGCGAGCGACAGTGAGATGGAGAATGAGAGTATGTAAATACGAGCATCTATGTAATTATATACATATATTGATGTATGTGGGCATGTTTATACGGTTTGGGTTAACACACAAATTAACCCCATTTGACAAAACAAAGCGAATAGCGGTAAAATGGATAATTTGTTAAATAAATTGTGCGATTTTTATGAAAGCATTAAATATTTGTTGTTGTCAGCCAGCGTTTGGGCCATTTGCTGATGCTGTAAACTGGTTATTTGCATTCGGTAAATAACATAAAATTAAAATTCTTTTGTTGTCCTTTCATAGTTTTGCATTACTTTTTTGTTGCTATACAGGGCGGAGGGTTGGATTTTCGTTAACAGATACAAATCCGTTTTATTTGTTTTTGTATTTCGTTTTTGTTGTTTTTCCAAAAATTGTGTTAAATTTTTATGGCCAGCATATTTGGTTTCTCGCCTCACCCCAAATAATGCGGCTGTCACCAATTACCGATACCCCTGGGTTAGCCATATCCTCCCATCGGCCACCCACTGAATGCTGCTGATGACTATGCAACTGCAAATCCTCTGAAATTATAGCGTTCATTAAATTTTAAACAAAGGTGATTAGATTTTATAATTCGCATATGCCACACCTCTCACAGAAATTGCGTACAGTTGTGCTCATTATTTATTTAGAACAATTGCAAAAAGTATTTTGTATTTAGCATTTCGGCATTGTATTTAGCTGTTTAGCTGTTGTTCCCTTATTTATTGGTAGTTAGCATAATGCATTTTATATTTGTCATATCGAAATGTGGGATCAACAATTGCTCGTTTGTTTTGCGAAAATTAATTTATTTATTTGCGCTCGATTTTTCTAAATTTCTATTCTTATTATTTGTCAACTCTAATTAATTTTTACCCGCCGCCAGATATCTACATGTATTTCGATACAAGATTATCGTGCTCATAGAAATATTCGAATCGAACCTTTGTACACTTTTGTGTTTTTCACAATTACTTAAATTAATACCAGCATGATAGTTGTATTTACCTTCAATTAAAGCGGAAATTCGCTAGAACATTATTTGAATTTTTATCATTTTTTATCATGGTTTATTATAAAAAGAAACATATTTTGTTATATTATAATTTTGTTAATGTGTTTTCCATTAATATTTGATTTATTTGAAAACCAACATTATTTTAAAAACTGATTTTTACTTTTCGAATATATCATTTTACCCAGTTCCGATCCTTGAGTTCGAAATAAGCACAAGGAATTTGTATTTGTAATAATTCAATTTATATTTTATATGACATGAATATTGAGCTCTTTGAGTACTTTAACACGACAAATCAAACGTCGCCCCACTGTGAGGCGCACCTGAATTTCGCCAAGCCGGTCGCGCAGGTATGTGTGGATCGAATTAAAAGAACCCAGAGGACGAATTAAAGTGGTTTCGCCTTTAAAACAGCAACGATGTGAAAGGCTGACATTGTTGGACAAAAGTCGACGCTGCGACTATGCCAGGAATAGTGATGCGTGCCAGGCCCGTGTGTTTATGTTGAACTACAACTCGTTGTTCTACTGTGGCTGCGATGACAACGATCTATTTCGATTCATGTGCATCGTGTTGCTGCTCCTTGTCAGCTTCTTGCTCTTCTGGGTCATATGCTTTACCACGAAAAACTTGTGAGTAGTGTTTGGAGAGTAAAGGAAGAATTTTAAATTGATCTTCCGCCAACTGAATTTTAGCTTTGTGCCTGCTTTAATGGACATATCGAAAAGTCTGAACATTAATGAATATTTCGCGGGACTAACCGTACTGACACTAGGCAATAATGCTCCAGATATTTTCGGTGGCATTGTTACAATACACTCGGACTCGCGTCACGTCTATTCGGATGCCATGTCGGTGAATCTATTTGTGAGCGTATTCACATCATCCATTATCATATGGATAAAGCCATTTGCCATCGATGGCACCTTCTTTCTTCGAGACGTGGGCTTCGTATTGCTCTACGTAAGCTATGTGGACTTTACAATAAAGATTTGCAATGGTTACATAACAGTTGCCTGGGCTGTTTCGATGGCTCTCATATGTCCCATTTATGTTGTGGTTGTCGTTTGTGATGAGTACCTTCAGTATCGCAGGGATAAGGGTGAGTTTTATGCGAAAATGAAAGGGGTTGCCCCCGCATTGATCAATGATCCTAATATGCAGAATTGCGGGAGAAGACAAAACAAATGTCAGAGTTGGAGGGCAGTCTTACCAACCACTCCTTATCCTTCCCAACAAGCTCCCCAACCAGTCTTCTGGACATAAGGCGACGCACGAATGCGCCCAATAGGCACATACTTAAGCAATTCTTTCAGGTCTTTGACACTCTGGACAGAAAGGGCTTCAGGAGCCAGTGGACCATCTGCAAGATGTGGGCGTTGATTAAGGTCCCGCCACTGATCCTCTTGCGCCTATATATACCGCAAACGTATTTCCAAGATTGCGAGTATACATGGTCCAAGCTGCTTTGCTGCATTCAGATTTTCCTTACGCCCACAACCATTATTGTATTGTTTGGTCAGTAGCTGCACCAGATTGGGTATTTGATAGTTAACATGCATCTTGTTTTCCTTGCCACAGTTCATATCTATTTAAAGCTGCAAAAATGGACTCTACCCGCTGTTGGAATCTGTTGTTGCATAACCATACCACTCTCGATCGTAGCCTTTCGGCACTCGCGCACGGACACGGTGCCCCGCTGGTACACATACATGGCCATATTGAACGTGATAGGCAGCATTTTTATCCTCTACGCGGCGACCAAAGAACTGGTTGCCGTGGTCGAAACTGTGGGCATTACACTCAACCGCAGTCACACATTCATCGGCTGCACCCTCTTCACTTGGGGCTGTACCCTATCTGATTTTATGTCAAATTTGGGCATGGCCCGCAAGGGATTTCCCCGCATGGCCTTCTCCGCTTGTTTTGGGTATATCATATTCGGTATGTCGCGTTTTACATCTACTTCATTAACGGAACTATTAATTAGTGTGCAATCTCCATTTCAGCCACCTTTGGGGGCGTTTGCTTGCCAGTTTTGTACAATGTTATAGCCACGCCACCAGGTGAGTTTCAAGTGAGTATTTGAAGATTTTTGAATTAAATATATGAATATATGTGAATAAAGAGAGATATAGAGTGCAACAGTGCTGCAATTGGGGTCCCGATAAAGTGAGTCACAGCCGAAATTTCAGTGCAATATCGAAATTCCAGCGAGTATCGAAAAATTCTAATTCGAGGTCTATTTATTTATTTCAAGAGCCAATCGGTTTTATTTAGAACGCAGACTTTCGACTCTAGGTTAGGGCAAATGCCATGATTTTCTTTAAGTGGTTGAGAATTGTGAAGAGAGGAAAATCAAAGTCAACTTTCTGTGTGTTTTACACGATGCCAAGTTGATTCAGTGTATCTTTTAAAAATAAGAGATACAAAATGCATTGAAAGGCAAAATTGATTGATAGATGTTACTAGTACTTTACCCCAAGTTGGAGGTTAGATATTCAAGTTTATTTGTCAGCCAGCCTAATATAAGTTTTCAATTACTATTATTATATTAATTATATATTTTTTACTTTATATCCTGCATCAGATCACCGAGGGTACCGTTGGCGAATCGGCCTCTATTATGCTGATCATAGGGCTCGTTATGATCATTTTGTATGGCGTTACCACTAATTTTATGTTACGTCGATCCGGCGCACTGCTGGGCATAACCATCTATGGGATATTTCTAATATTTGTTGTTTCCAGTGAGTTCGAGGTAACTCATGCTTTCGGCACAGATCACAGCCTGGATCGCAGCCAGTTCGATGAGAGTTATATACGAGAATGAGGCATATATACAATTGATTGATTTATTTAATATTTTCGCAACACAAGTTCACATTGTAACTTAAAGCAGCTCGTCACAGAAACATAGAAAACGCTGTCTGATTATACAGCTAGAGCGGTTGATAAAATTAATTTGTTTTTTTTTTTTTTCAATATTTACTCTACATAATTTTTAGCCGAATACGATGAAACTGAATGAAAGATTCAGATGGGGAACTAGAAACTATTATCGCATTTTCTTGGCGGCAATTCTCTTCTGCGTTTCGGTGTATTATATCATTAGCACCGTAATACCGTATGGCGACACCGAGCATGAAATCGCAGAGGGTTATTTTGTGAATACGTCGGGATGTCGCATGATGGCTCTGAATCCACTGCCAATGGAATCGGCAAATTATTTACTGCGACTTGAACCTAAGAACTGCAACAGACTTCAACTTTTTAAGGCCAGAACGATTCATAGGAAGAACTACCTGATACGGACTATGTCAAACAAGAAGATATTAAATGCCTGGAAAGTGGAAAACATTTCCGATATTGTCTGCATATACAAAACGACGCATAGATACGATGATTTTAGAAACATATACGTTACAAAAAGAGTCATCCGTTTAAGCAATCAAACATTCGCAATTGGAGTGGAAGATAGTACCAGAATACTGAGAATCCGATGCACTGATAGCCATAATACTACGCTTTATCATGATGTTCATTTCTTTCTACAATCACGATTCCAACATCGTCCGAAAAAACGTTCGGATCGTTTGTCAGTTATGATTATTGGCATCGATTCGCTCTCACACATGCATTATCTGCGCACAATGCCCTTCCTGGGTTCCTACATCAGCAGATTGCCGCACGTCGAGTTTTGGGGCTACAACCGCGTAGGGTCCAACTCTTACCCCAATCTGGTGCCTCTGCTCAGTGGCATGGACGTCGACCAGCTGGAAGCTGCCTGCTATCGTGGCTACGATAACTACGACGAATGCGAATTTCTGTGGAAGCACTTTAAGCTGTCTGGCTACAGAACGAGTTTCGCCGAAGACACCAGAGTGGGCGGCACATTTAATTACGTGAAAAAGGGTTTTTATCGCCAGCCAACGGACTTTTACCTGCGACCCGTAATGCTAGAAATCGATAGTCACACACGCTACAGCATTGATCTACGCGATGACATTCACTGCACTGGTAGCCGCAAGTATGGAGATATATTGCTCGAATTTATCAACAAGCTAATACCAAATATAGCAGATGGGCTGCACTTTTCATTCTTTTGGCAGAGCCAGGGGGTGCATGACTACTTCAATTATGCCCAGTTATTGGACGAGAAATACCTGAAATTAATGCAAACCCTAAACAATACTCGCATTTTGAACGACACCTTGGTACTCCTGATGTCCGATCATGGAATACGGTTTGGTTCTTTTCGCCAGACCTACCAGGGAATGCTAGAAGAATCGCAGCCTCTTCTGATAGCTCTGTTTCCCAAATGGTTAGAGAAGGCTTACCCCGTAGCCATATCTAATCTTCGATATAACGCTCATAGTCTTGTTACAACCTTCGATTTACATGTGACCCTCAAGGACTTGACCAACTTGAAGCTGCTTCACAATAGCAATATTCAAAAACGCACGGCGGCACTTCGGGAGCTAGGCCACAATATACCACGAGGTATTAGCCTGTTTCTACCCATACCGAAGGTGCGAGATTGTGCATTGGCCGGCATTCCAGCCTCCTATTGTCTCTGTCATAGTTTAAGCTCGTTAGCTACTGCCGACGACAGATCCCAGCGTGCTGCTTTGTTTGTGGTGAAGAGTATCAATGCCATTATAAGAAGTGAGAAACTTTGCCAGACATTGAAGTTAAAAGAGGTGCAAGCGGCGTATCTGCTGAATCGAAATAATGATCATTATGAATATGAGGTTAAGGTGCGAATCCAGACGACTCCGGGAGGAGGGCTTTTTGAAGGAACTACAAGATTTACAGGCGATTTACTGGCGCTAAATGGCGCTGTTCTTCGAATCAACAAATATGGCAATCAATCATACTGTGTGCATAACTATCTCATTGAAATGTATTGCTATTGTTTATAAAATAGTTGGAGGAACATAAATAAACCAATGTAGCTCCATATTCGCTAAGGGTGAACATGGGGCTTTAGTAAGGCAACCGATTCTTACAGAATGTAGCTAAAGTTATTTCTTCACTTAACGCAGGCGTTGATATCGATAATTTTAGATATCATGTTAGCTTGACGCGATGTATATCGAACGCCCTAGTTTGTTCAAAATCTGTCGATATATGCCAAGTTCTCACCAGTTCTGATTAACTGTCAAAGTTTATTTTGTTAAAATATGTTAAAACAAAAATTGAAACACCGATTAGGTAATAAGAGGCTCACATGGATTACTTTCGGAGCCATCCTTGTATGCGTTTTTAACTATTTTCTGATAAACATTATTTGCTACTTGGACAAGGATCGAGAATCTGTAACGGAGGGCTACTTTGTCAATACATCCGGTTGTTGTATGCTGGCTCTGAATCCAAATGCAACACCATTATTAAAGTACTTTCGGCAAGTCGAGTCCAGAAAATGCAGTAAACATCAACTATTTCGTGGTGAAACGATAAAGGATACGAATTTCTTGGTGCTGGCGATGTCTGAGAGAGAAATTGTAAAGACCTTCGAAGTTAAAAGCATTACCGAAGTTAACTGCACTTATAAGCTGGTGAAACGACATAATGACTTCTCGAACAAAATGACGAAAGGTAGAACCTTTTTCTTAAGCAATCAAATGCCACTAATTGAAGTTGAAGACGGTTCTAGGATATTGCGAATCCAGTGTTTTGTGCCCAAGAGAAAATTGATTTACCACGATGTTCATTTCTTTTTACCTGCAGCACCACCTCCACGCAGAATCTCGTCAACATCTTCACCGAATCGCCTGTCTGTGATGATACTAGGCATCGATTCCATATCACATATGCATTTTCTTCGCATGATGCCCTCAACAGCTGCCTTTATTAGGCATCTACCTCACGTTGAATTCTGGGGCTACAATCGAGTCGGTGTTAATTCCTTTCCAAACCTAGTCCCACTATTAAGTGGCCTAAGCGACACGGAAATGGAGGGTAGCTGTTATAAGAATAAGTCCTCTTTTGATGAGTGCAATTTTTTGTGGAATCATTTCAAGGCTGTGGGGTACAACACTAGCTTTGGCGAAGATAACATGGCTATTGGAACATTTTCCTACTGCAAGAAAGGCTTTGCACAGCAGCCCACTGATTTCTATTTGCGACCCGTAATGGCTGAGATCGATTGTTACACTAGGTACAGCCTAGATGAGCTTGACTTAATTCACTGCAGTGCAGGACGCAAGTACGCGGACATTCACCATGAATTCATCTATAAGCTGATACCTCATATGAACAGCAGGGATCACTTTTCGATCTTTTGGGAAACGCAAGGCGTGCACGACTATTACAATTATGCCCGTGTGTTAGACGAACGATATCAATGGTTACTTCAGCGGCTTCATGTTAAGTCTGTTTTGGAAAACACCCTGGTACTTTTTATGTCCGATCATGGTTTGCGGTTTGGTTCTTTTCGCACAACCTGGCAGGGCATGTTCGAGGAGTCTCTGCCGTTTTTGATAGCCCTGTATCCCAAGTGGTTAGAGAAGGCTTACCCCGCAGCCATATCTAATCTTCGATATAATTCCCATAGTCTTGTCACAGCCTTCGATTTACATGTAACCCTCAAGGACTTGACCAATTTGAAGCTTCTTCGTAGTAGCAACATTGTAAATCGATCGGCAGTCCTGAAGGGAATGGGACAAAAGATACCTCGAGGTATTAGCCTCTTTCTACCCATACCAGAGGTACGAGATTGTAAATTGGCGCACATTCCAGCTAATTTATGTAATTGTCATAAGCTGAAAAAGATACGTACGTCTGCCAAAGTATCCCAGCGAGCTGCTCGCTTTGTCGTGGATAGCATCAACATGCTGATCAAAAGTCACAAGCTCTGCCAGAAATTGTACCTGGAGGAGGTGCAAGAGGCGTATGTTCTCAAAAAAGGCGCTGATAAGCACTTTGAGGTCAAGGTTCGATTGCAGACGTCTCCGGGCGAAGGACTTTTTGAAGCAACCACAAGATTTACGGAGGATTCACTAGCTCTAAATGGAGCTATAACACGTACTAACAGATATGGAAACCAATCATATTGTGTAAATGATCATCACATTGAAATGTTCTGCTATTGCTTATAAATGGAATTTATTATGATAAACTTAACGAGCTCGTTTGCGGAGAGAGATTTGTAACCGCAAAATTAAGGGATTGTCCCCTTAAGAAATACACTTTTATAAGATATATTTTATAAGTCTGGCCAAAAAGCGCATAAACATCGTGATAACGGCTATTACAATAAAGCATTTGTTCATTTCGAAAGCGCAAAAGTTATCACTCGGCCCAGTCGCCGCCAGACAGTCGAATCCGCTGCTCCAGACACGAGCTAGACCCATTTTCATTTCCATTTCCAGTTTCTGCCTTGGCTCCAGTGACGGTCTCTCAGCGAGGCAAGCTCCGCGTCAGTTCAGTTTGACGAACTGATAAATGTCAAATGGTTTATGACACACGGGTCTCGCCTCTGACTTGGTTGAGTTTTGATACACTTTCGTAGAGAATTTTTATTTCATTGCGATACTTGTAACACATGGGCTGACTTTTTATGCCGGCATGCCCCGCAGTTTAATTTACAAATTGAATTACTTTGTATGCTTTTATATTTTTATATATGTGTAACACATATAGTCCAATTCCAAAAAGAAATGAATATATTAAACTCGGGACGAATACCAACATTTTTTGTAAATGTGAAAAATGTCGTTTCTTATGGGTAAACGTACCAGGCGACACACATTTCACATTAAAAAAATCATCAATATCGAATCAGTACATCCTACAGCTCTATATAAAAAATCTTTATCAAGCCTAGCAATTACG